CTTGATGCGGAACAGTTTTGACAGTCTCGGCCTCCCTATCAGAATCAGATTCCTCGCCTTCTCCATCGGACTCTAGAAGTTTCTTCTTGCCTTTCGAAGAAGATTCTTCATTTTTGTCATTTTCTTGGAAGATATTGACGAGCTGTGTGAGTCGAACTCATTGTCTCCATCTGTTTCTCCAATGCATCTAGCCTCGCTGAACTATTTCCTTCAGTCATCTTCTTCTTTCTTAATTTCGGGACCCCTTCTAATGAAATAAGGATCTCGCTTAACTTCTTGTATTGCTATCGAGTCAGGACCATATACAGGATGTCCCCTTCACGGGATCTGATCGCTTTGATACCAATTTGGTACGAGTCGTCGTGCGATCACCTTTGATCGCGGAATTATCAAAGATGGTTGAGAAGAAAATAACAAGAACACAAGGATAATTCAGTGGTGACGAAGGAAACTCCCTTCTCTAGATTATGAGAATTAGATAGTTTACACTCACAATCTCACTAGAATTGAAGAACAAGCTCTCTCAATTCTCAAATACAATCTAATCTCTCTTGATTCCTTTAAAACCCTAAACCAATCCCCTATATATGTGTAATAACGTGGATGACAAAATGGTAAATAATCAAGCCTAAACCCCACAGGAATTCGTGTAAACAGAAACCAAAACGAACCAGGAAACCATCGATGAGTCGACTCATGTGCATATATGAGTCGACTCATGACATATGGGTCGACTCCTGACAGTCATGAGTCAACTGGTCAGAAACTTTTGACAAAACGGTTGGGTTTCGTGAGTCGACTCATGACAGTCATGAGTCGACTGGTCAGAAACATTTGACAAATGGCTGGGCTTCATGAGTCGACTCAACCTGATGAGTCGACTCATGTGCATGTATGAGTCCACTCACGAGCTGAAAACTGAACGCTTCGATTCGCCGTCTTGTTCCACGCTTCGACCTGTGTTCTACTGTATTGTTTTACACCTCTATTCTCAAGTTACCATGAGAATCATCTATTCTCAAGCTCCCATGAGGATCACTGAGGATCGCTAAGTTCCAAAAAGAAGATACACCCGTATCACTACCTCTCCCTCTTCGACCGTCTCTCCTGCTTCTCCGCTGCCTCCGTCAACTTGAACCTCACCGAGTTCCTCTTTGAACTTTGAAACTCCACCATTCCTCTTCCTCCTTTGTGGGGCTCGGTGCTGTGACAGTGTCAAGTTATCTCTTTAACATGTTTTTTCTTCATTTCTTCAGTTAAATTTGTGATTTTATTGTTAAATTGTAAGCTATCAATTCAAGCTGATATAATATTGAAACTTTCCCAAGTGTTAGTTCTTGTTACATTAAATGAAAACACTTTATAATGAACTGAAGTCATGATGCAACAACTCTTTTTTAATTCTATACATTTGCAGAATTTTAGATTTACCTTGAATTTTTCTTATATTTTTAAAATGTTTATACATATTTAAACTGGACCTTTTTTTAATTTTCCTTTTTTTACCGCTATAGCCCCAAATAGCTTTAGCGGTTCCTTACTGCTACGCGACGCTATTTGCTTACTATAATCTTGAGTCTTGTCAAATCTTTATGGTTTGCACCAATTAGTTATCTTCTTTCCAATTTTCAACAACTTTATGAGCAACAATATCAACAAAAGAATCTGGTTAGGTAGATAACTAATATTAATCTAAAGTTCTAGAAGATGAGTCTCAGATGGGGACATGTAATAGCATCGTTGACTAGGAGATGGGTGTCGACTAGGAGATAGGTTGTACGATCTCCAATAAGAAGATGACCAGGAAATTTCCAAACTGAAGACATACATTAGGATCTCCAACACGAGGACAGATAGTAGTCTTCTATATATAGACATAGTAGAGAGAAGATTGAAATGCTAGTAAATCCACAACAGTAGATACATGAAGTTGACCATATCATAGAATCTTGGTCAAATCCTTTTATATCTTATATATATCAAGTCCTACACACACACACATACACTTTTTACCTCTTATTTTTTGCTACCTGATTAAAGGGCTAGATCAAAGCCTGATCTGGAGAATCCAAGGGGAAAGCTAAGACACTGACTATGGAAAATATAATTGCTTGCTTTCCTTTTTTTTTTAATTGAGGTCAAAGATGGAGCCAAATTCTCCATGGAGAGATGGCTTCATTGGTCAATTCATAACGCATTGCCGGTTGATGGGTTAGAGCCATTGCCACCAGTGTTACGATAACTAGTACGTCAATATATATATATTTTTTTGGTGGCTGAGTTGAATATTCAACCATGGAAACTGAAGGGGAGGAATTGATCCAGATTGCGGTCGGTGGACCTGTGGCAGTAAGGTGGTGAGTTATGCTTTGTTCTTTGCTTTGGTATACGTTCAATGACCATGAGTTACAAAATTTAAAGGTGGCTCTATAATCAGATGTTTGCAAAAAGATTGGTTACTGGGTGGGAAAACTAAAAGTTTATTTGGGTTATTGTTCTATGTCTCCTCTTGGAAAGAATGGATGCCCTAGGCAACTCTCCAATGTTAATAATTATATATAAACTTGTAAAGTTTCGTTTTACTTGATTGCTCTAGTTGATTGGAAAAATTTCAAGCATAGCCTTGTCATACTTGTGTGATGGTAATGGATGGATTGAACTGACACTGGATGGACTGAACTCGGTGCATTATGTCAACTATTTTTTTCTTCATGTTTTCTTATCTTCTCTCTCTTTGTACTGCAGGTTGGACAAAAGGACTTCTCTTTTAGATGTTAGACTTGAGTGGCAAGAAGTGGAGAGATTTTCCCTTATCAATCGGTTAGGCAAGTTCCATGGCCGGAGCCAAGCAGATGGAGCTGAGAGCTCTTCAACCTCACAGAATAGCCCACACAAAGTATTTCCTCAGAGATATGTGACTGCATTTTCATTGCCTGGAAATGTTCCTGAAGGGGTGCATTGTCTCTCACTCTAGATCATTAATTAATTGATTTTTTTTCTTATTTTCACATTTATCAGTTCAGTCTATCTTCCCCTATGCTTTCAGCTCTCCACTCATTTAATATCTGCAAATGAGAGCTTATACATGAACAGGAAACAGGAGGGGATACTGCAATTACTATATATGATATATAAGGAAACTGAGGCAACCTCATATGAGGAGGGCCTTCGAGATCAGACATCAAACAAATGCTTGCTTTTTGACGTCACTTTTCATTCTAAATAGAACATAGGCCATTGTAAGTTCATGATAGTAGGAGAATTAAGTCTCCTTACTAGTGATAAAATGAAGGTGATCATTAAGGGTCTCACATATTTCAGTGAGAAGTAATCGTTGTGTTGCTTGATATTTCATGGGCAGTATGAAGTACCCATATTATGTTTTCAATTCACTTGGTGCATTAAGTTGCCTAGAGAGAAGAAAGGGAAACATACGTCCTTATTCTAGTGTTTACTCCAAATAAGCTAGATGCATACTGTTAAAATGGCTTACATCAATGCAGGTTAGTTTTACATTTTATATTTAAACTACATTTTCAATAAGAGCTGTGTGGGTTGTTGTTCTGGAACAATTTCACTTGCTGTTTTTCTGGTTCCTCTCATGCTAAGCGAATTGCACTATGCTCTCGAAGAGTTCATAGAATCCAGATTTAGAAAGGAGAGGAATACTTGGGGAGTTCTGAAGAGAAAGGCAAGATGGTTGTATTTTTGCTTCTTGGTTTTCCTCTTCTAGAGGCCTTTGCCTTTTTTAGAATTCAGATTCAAAAGGAGAGAAACAAAGTACTTGGGGAGTTCGGAAGATAAAAGGCATTTTGCCCATCTTCAGGCTTCTATCGTTATATATTGTGTAATCTATTAGGAAATTTAATCTCTTGTGCATATTAGTTGAGGTGTATTATATGTGGGATGTATAGAGTTCAGGAAGGAGATTTTGTGTTCCAGTGAACGAATCTGTCTTTAAAGGGTTGCTCTTAAAGGTTGTATCAAATTTCCATCCGTTAGTCAAGTCTTATGATTGGTAGCTTCAAAATAATCAAACTGCTATTTCAAGCAGAAGATGAGAGACTTGTAGAGCTTTATCTATATAACTTGAGCGATCCTATTTTGTAGAGTATCACTAGTGATTGTCGTGGCTGAAACATTACCAAATTGTTTGTATTCTTGCTTCTTGGCGGTTTTTCTTTTCTATAGGCTTTTGCCTGTTTAAATTTTAGATTCAACAAGGGGAGAAGCTAAGTACTTGGAGGCTTCTGAAGAGAATTTCAATTTTTATATCTCCATGCTTCTTTCGTTGTATTTTTCGTCTTCTATAAGGAAATTCACTCGCTTGTGCATATTAGTTGAAGTCTGTGGAATGTATGGAGTCATGGAAATCCTATCGCTTGTGCATGTTAGTTGAAGTCAGTGAAATATATGGAGTTTATCAAGGATGTTTTTGTCTTCCTGTAAACAAAATTGTACTTGGAAGGGTTCCTGAAAATGTTGCCCCCCTGAGTGATTTTTCCGAGGCTCTTTTAAATATGGTTTTTTGAAACAGACGTTCATTGTTGAAGCGTTTATAGATGTCAGTTTCTAAACAAAGACGTTGCTCGCATGCAGTTTTAGGCAAAAGATTATGCCTTGAAAAAGATTATCTATTATTCAAGCAAATCATATTTCGTGTCTCCATAACTCTGAGTTGTGTCAGAGGGTGTGCAGGAACTATAAAATAATATGACAAAAGACTCCCTCCCTCTCAAAGGACCATCTGCGTCGGTTCCTTCAAACAAAAAAACTTTAATTAGTTGCATCGTGTGGTTCTGAACAAAATGTGTAACAGAAGCTTATTTTCTATAATGTTAACAATAAGCTGGTCTTAAGAGGAGGAGGGGGGTTGCAGGGTCATGAGTTAAACTCAATTGTGTTTGCACCAAATATCAATGAATGAAATTTTTTGAAACAATTACAGTGCAGTACCAAAAAAAAAAACAAAAATAAATAAATAACCAATAATGCTCCTCTTGGTTCTAATAATTCAAAAATCTGACTTTCCATCTGCAAGAAATATGCAGAATATAACTAGATATTACATAAACCTGATCTGAACCCGAGTCATTTACAAGCCTCAAATGTTATCTCCACCAAACTTGCTCTTGCAGCCCTTCAGCTTCCGAGAAATTTCAATATGAACTTTCTCATTTTCCCCATCACTTAAAGATTGCGAAACTTGAAATTTCCTGAACAAGTAGCTGGTTGCTAATCTTCTTATAGAAAATTCATCACTTGTAATGAATTTTCAATACTTTTTATTTATTTAAAGGAATTCATCACTTGTAATGAATTTTCAATGCTGCTATATCCAAACTAAACCAAAATAGGTTTCCCTCTTGAAATCGTAAGCATGCAGGGTCCATCATGGTGGCAAGTTGGCATCAGAAGAGGAGAGAATCCAGTATTATGAGCTTGTTAAGAGTCACTCTCACGCCTTTGTCAAAACCACTTTACAGTACAATCTCTTTCCGTTCTTTTATAGCCCCCATTATCACAACGAAACAAACAAATAATTTATTTTCAGAACATTCCGGCTCTTTAAATATATATTTTTTCAATATTTTGAAATTTACACCCAACTGAATCCAGGCTCTTTTCCCGCTCCCCCAACTCCGATTCTCCTCCTAGCCTTCTCTGCATAATCCCACTTCCCTACTTCCGAATACATATTCGACATTATTACAACCGAGGGGTTATCCTGCCCTTTCATCCCCATTATCCTATCCTTCGCCATCTGCCCCATTTCAACATTCCCATGAAGCCTGCAAGCTGCCAACAGTACAGCCCAAACTGACGCATCTGCCTCGAATGGCATATCAGATATACAGCTCCTCGCTCTCCCTAACATCCCCGCTCTCCCAAATAGATCGACCACACAAGCATAATGCTCCATTAAGGGTTCAATCCCATGTTTCGATACCATTACCTCGAAGAGGCCAATTCCTTCTTCTATTAGCCCACAATGGCTACACCCCGATAAGAGGGACACGAACGTTACATGATTTGGATCTATGTTGTGCATCGTCATCATCTTGTATAGAGATATCGCCTCAAGCACGTGTCCGTGTTTGGCATAGGCAGCGATCATTGTGTTCCAGGAGACGATGTCTTTGCTAGCAAGACCATCGAATAGTCTTCTACTGTCCTCAAGAGCACCGCATTTTGAGTACATGTCCAACACAGAGCTCTTGACATACTCATCCATGATCCCACTTTTCTCGATAGAGGCATGTATGCATCTTCCTTGGTCTAGGCTTGCTAGGATTCCACAAGCTTTCAAGACGCTTGAGAAGGTGAAACTGTTGGGGGTAGTTTCAGTCGAGTTCATTGCTTTGAAAAGCACGATTGCTTCTAGATGTTGGTCAAGTTGGGCCAGACCTGATATGATTGTGGTCCAAGAAACAACATTTCTCTCTTTAATTTTGTCGAAAAATTCTAGAGCTTCCTCTGCGGAGCCCTTCTTAAGGAGGCCATCCAAGAGAGCGTTTTGGACCATCGAATTCAATCTAAAACCATGTTTTATGGCATGAACATAGACCGGCCACTCTCTTCCCGGGCAAGAACTCAACAACGCGATAAATGTGGAAAGATCAACACCTTTGCGCAGACGCTTCATTTCAATGAAAAGGTTAATGGCTTCATCGAAATTTCCATTCCGTCCGTGTCCAGAAATCATTGAATTATATGAGACTGTGCATCTTCCAGGCATTCCATCAAACACTTTGCAACCCTCCTCCGCGTTGCCACATTTCATGTACATGTCCGTTAAAGCAGTATTAACCACCAAATCTTGGCGAAACGTGGACTTCATTACGAGCCCATGAACCATCACCCCTAAATTACAGGACTTGAGACCACTGCAAGCTTTGAGCACGCTTGAAAATGTGCATTCGTTGGGGCTCAAACCTTCCCGCATTAACCTACGGAAATAATCCAACGCGGTCTCCTCAAGAGCATTCTTCAAACAAGCAACGGTCATAGCATTATACACAGCAGTATCGGCGAATGAAATACCATCAAACACCATCTCCATGCTGTTAACATCCCCAAACTCGCCATACATATCTACAAGAGAAGTTCCCACGACACAATTGGACTCTAAACCGGTCTTCACCACAAATCCATGAAGCTGTTGGCCTGTCTCCTTATCCAAGCCCGACGAGCATGCTTTGATCAAGCTGCCGAAACTGTACTCAGTGGGTTTAAAATCAGAGCACCGCCTAGCTTTGGCAAATAACCGTAGAGCACCTTCGCAGTCACCAGAGCTCACGTAACAAGACACCATGGAGTTAAACAAGGGCGAGTCCCCAACCAAGCACTGTCTAAACACTGAAACAGCAGAGTCCACGCAACCAACCTTCGAGTACAGATCAATGAGCGAGGTACAAACAAATGGGTCAGATTCAAAGCCCGACACTACCACTTGGGCATGGACCTGCTCACCCAAAACGACCGAATCCAGCTTCGAACAAGCTACGACGGAGCTCGAGAACACAAACTGGTTGGGCGCAATACTGAGTTTGGGCAACTGGGTCATGAGATTCAAGGCAATCTTTGGGTCCCCAGATCGGGCGATGGAGGAGATGAGGGTGGAGTAGGAGATGAGATTTCTTTCGGGCATCTCGTCAAACAGCCTGCGCGCGTCGTCAAGGCGGCCGGATTTGGAGTAGAGATTCAGGAGGTGGTTGCAGAGAACGGGTTGAGGGTGGAGCCCGCTCTTGATGGCGAGAGCATGGAGGGATTGACCAGCGGAGGGAGAGTTTCGGGAGACTGAGGATTTGATTGCCGCAATTATTGAGGAATTAACGGGGCTGTGTTTCATCGTGATTAAGGAGAGGCTTTTATTTAAAGAGGGGACGACCGATGCATCCGTTTCTGGGGCGCCGTCGGAAAAGCTGCATTTTTCTTTTTTCTGGATCGACGGAGACGTCGTTCGAGCGCGCAGATATCGGGATGATAACAGTATCTTAGTAGTGATTTCTGTGTTGATTCGGGATGCAGGGCAGCATGTCCTCGGAGTGGATGATTATAATTGTTTTTCTTTTAGTGCAAGCTAATATACGGGGATATAATGAGCGTTAGATTTAAAATGTGTAGCCTCCTGAAAACTACATGCATGCAATGTGGTTGATCTACTACATAAATAATGCACAACGAAGACAACTTAAACCCTATCATGCATCTAGGAAACGTAAACGACAAGTATGCGGTTACCAATTCGGATCTTTTTCTGTAAGATCATCATGCCTTTTTACAACCGGCAAGAAGCCCGCGCATATCAACCCGCGACTGCCGTATAAAGCACGAATTCCCACCGAGAAGGAGATGACAGCTATCTATGTGTACGTGTACGTATATTTTTTCTATATCCCATCATGAAGAACCATATATCTTTATATAAGGGCTTAGAGAAAAAAAATCCTACGCTCATTATGATTATAAAAAAATTTATCTCTAAGATAAGATATTATCCACCCACTTATTTAGGTATCTATCTCATAATCATAACTGACATACTCCCACTCACACGAATGAGTGAGTGCATCACTGCTCCGTGAACCGACTCCGTGAGTCGTTAACTCCCCAAGTCAAAGTCTCCCTGAGAATCTCCTTCCTTTTTCAACTTCAAGTTCGTACATTATTAGTACGGTTGATGCGGCATAATTATGTACCAAAATTACAAGTGCACAATTTATCAAGTTATAGTATAAAAAAGATAGATCACCACGAAGATGGTGATTTTAAGATATTATTAGAACTTGGTTTCTTATATTTTGTGCATGACAATTAGGAATAAAGAATCAGTGTGAATGTGATGAGTGATTTGTGTGAATATTTGCAAAAGATAATAAATTGAATTTTAGAGGAGAGAAGGAAGAATTAAGAATAAATGAAATCACAAGGCAAGAAAGATGAATGAATAAAATCAAGAAAATAAAACCAAGAATGAAAAGAAAATTAAGAAAGTCAAGATAAATGATTCAAAAGAAGTAAGAAATCTAGAAATATAATCCACTAACCAATTTCAAATTACAAATATAAACTATTCTCTTTTTATCATATTTAATTTAGATTTATTAAGCATGATTATCAACCATTTAAGGATAGTGTAACCTATAAATTATCATCTAAGCTAAAATTACTATTCATGATAAGAACACAATATGATAATAATCCTAGAATTCATAAGCATAACCTATCAAACATTTAAAGATAAGCATAGATTATCAATTCTTCTCTACCGATTAATTCTCTAGTTGATTATCCTAACATGAACATTTTAAGTACAAGAGAATAATTTATATAATATAGGGAAATTAGACTAGTTTCTATTTTCTAAACTTCCTAACAAGAATTTAATTCATATCTTTAAGAAATAAAAACAAGAAACAGAACTAATTACAAATTAAAAAAAAGAAAAATCTAACTCAATGAACAAGAAATTACAGAAATTAAATGCAAGAAAAATAAATCTACTCTACAAATTAAAGTGCAAAAAGAAATAAAAAGCAAGAAAGTAAATCTTACACTACAACATGAATTTAAATCTAACTAATAAGGCAATAATAAAGAAATTACTAAAAAATAAATAAAAGAGAAAAGAAATACAACCTTCAAATTGCTCTCATCTCCATCACTCATCATTCCACAAAGAGGAGAAAGAACAAATTTAAAGAGGAAAAAATTATTTTTATTAATTGCAACTAAAGTTATAATTTTTTGGAAAGGCCTTCTCAATTAAGAGTAGCCATCCTCTCCCAAAAGGAGTTTACAAAATTTTCAGCATGCCCCTTAACCTCACTCTCTACCCCTATTTATAGTAATCTTCAATGAATATGAGCCATTAGATTTGTCTTGAGCCCTAAGTAACAATCTCCACCTTTGAATTGATTTTCCAATCTTCATTTGATTTTTCAAGGCCCAATCTTCATTAAATTGATTTTCAAAAATTAATTCAGAAGCCCACATCCCTCAGCAGCCCAATGAAGTCCGGTCTCTTGATGAAATCCAACTGCAGCACTTGAAAATTAAAAACCCAAGTCCAATGAAAATCCGGTCTTCATTTGAGCAAATTATATTTGATTTTCCAAAAAAATCAACCTTGATTCAAGTCTGCAGCACCACATCCAAGACCGGTCCAATGCAAAATAGATCAAAGCATTGTTTTCATTTGATGAAATTCCAAGGCCCAAGCCAAATTCAGTGCGGGCCTTACATGATTCCATTTCATTTTAAAAATAGAAAATGAAAAATTCGGCCAATTCAACTCACGCAGTCCATTGGTCCGGTCTTGTGATTTTTTTTTTGCATAAAAGTCAACAATCAGCACAAGTCATTTGATTTTCAAAAAACAATCAAGTCCGGCCCATTTGTTAAAATCCACTCTCCACACGCATGTCAACAGGCGGTCCACTTATAAAATGTAAATCTCCACATTGCAGCAGCCTATCAAACAAGTCCGGTTATGGAGAACTTTTTGGGCAACCAAGTCCAATTCCAATCTTGAATTTCAAAATCCAATCTCCAATTCAAATTTGGTCCAATGTAGCCTAGTTCAATTCATTTGGTGTATATTTGTTTTGAGTGCTTTGGGCTTCAAATATTTCATTTGGAGAAACAAGATGAATTTTTGGGATTTATTCTTCATTAACCTGCAATTAAATATAAAAGCAATTATTAGTAGTATATTTATTCATATAAAATAGATAATGAGGGTATAAAATTGTAATAAAAAGGTGATCATCAAATACCCCCATACCTAAACTCTTGCTAGTCCTCTAGCAAAGAAAGAAAAAGAAAATCTAACTCACTTTCGCAGGAATCGGCGGTTGTATTTAGTAGGCATACAACAAGCCTTTAAACCCCTAGGTTACCCTAGTGGACGAGTTATAGTCTCGTGAGGGTTTGCAGTGAATATACCCACAAAATTCGGTCACTTGCAAGTTAAATAAGTAAGTAAATACAGATTTTCCTTTGATATATTTAAACATTCTAAATTGAAGCTAGTTAATAAATCAAGAAAAATGTTTTTATATATAACTCCAATGTAAATCCCTAGAATTTTTTTTTTCATTATAGCAATACAAAACCAAGTCAAATCTTAGAAATTAATTAAAAAGTTTGAAAGAACACAACTCTTTGTTTAAATAACTTTCAAGTCTCTTGATCAAATTGTTTTTTCAAGACCATATATACAAACAAAAACATATATATAAAACAATGGTTAGTGTTATATATTTTTTTTCTCACTCTCTAATTCTTAGTGATTGTTTTTTATTTTAACGGGCTTTCTAAGTGACCATTTAACGGATTTTTGGGCCAATGATCCCAACCCAATTGGGCTTAGGTCATTTAGTATAGAGAGTACTCCTTGGGCTTAATTGCTCAGTCAACTTAGGCTTTATAGAATCACCTTGAATTTAAAGAGGGGTTTTTTTTTGTGGTGCCCATTTTTCGCATCTCTTCTTTTATAAGGTTAGTTTTTTTTAATATAATATATATGTGTAAGTATATATAGTCTTTAAAAAATGTGTAAATCAAGATAACTTGAAAAAAAATATTTTAACTCTAAGTTAAACATGCAAAAATTTCATTATTTTTAATTAAAAATCTAAGGTAAGACTTAAGTAAAGTAATACTAGTTTGAAAAATCATTTCTTAAGAACTTTATTTGGAGTTATCATAAAGGTGAACTTGAATATGTCACTAACTAAGAATTAGAAAATTTAAAATCTATCATTTGATGCAATTATTACTTAACTCTCTATTAATTTGGCAAGTGAATATATTTTTATAATTTTTTTTAAAAAAGAAAGAAAAATGCAACTAAAAAGGTAAAATAAAGAGGAAAATATGTATTTCTCACCCACACCTAAATTTTGCATTGTCCTCAATGCAAATTCGCTGAAGCACAAAGTAAGAGCAGATAAAATTAAAAGAACTTACAGTTGTTAGTTGACAATGATGATAAGGATGCTGCAATTACTGTTAGTATGAGGATGAAGAAATAAATAAGAGAAAATTGTAAGTAATTATTTTTATTTATTATTATTATTAAAAAAAAATTTAAAAAAACAAAGAATTTTTTTTTCTTTTTTTAAGAACAAAAAGGAAAATTAAGTTTTTTTTTAATAGATAATGAAGTTCATGAAGACACACCTCTTCCTCTCGCGAGCGTAGAAAATTCTAAAATGGTTTTAGACGTTGACCATTTATTTAAAATATTATCATTTTTAGGATTTTCTATCTCGACAGCTCCAGTTGGAAAAACTTGTTTAACAAAAATGGACTGTCCATCTTGATCTTAATTTTCCCGGAAAAAGATGGCAATTTTGAATTGTACAATAAAACTTTCTGTCCTGGAGAGAAATTTTTCGCAAAATTGATTTCATGAAAAATTTTTGTTTTCTCTTGTAAATTTTTGAGTTATGTATGGCATCATTTCTAATTTCTTCGCAACTCATTTATTTGAAGCAATTCTGTTCTTACCTGCCGAGTCTGAGTCAAAATTTAATTGTTTTTATTGGCCCAATTGCTCGATTGTCCAACTCTACTGGTAGGTGACAAGCTTTCCGAATATTAATCTGTATGGTGACATCCCAATTGGGCCTTGAAAGCTGTTCTATACGCCCACAGAGCATCACACAATTTTACAGACCAATCTTTATGTTATGAATTAACTGTTTTTTCTAAAATTTGTTTGATCTGCCTGTTTGTGACCTCTACTTGTCCACTGGTTTGGGGATGAATAAGGAGTTGACAAATGTGTGTGTGATTGAATATTTCCTCATCAGAGCCTCGAAAGAACGGTTACAGAATATGTACCGTTATCACTGATATCGCTCGAGGTACTCAAACCGGGCAAAGATGTTCTTCTTCCAAAAATTTGACAACGACCTTGTTGTCATTAGTTTTGCAGCTAGCTGCCTCAACCCATTTTGACATGTATTCAACGGCTACTAGAATGTAGACATTTCCAAAGCAATTGTGAAATGGTCCCATGCAAATAATACCACAAGATGCAAAAAGTTCAAACGGATAAGA